ACTGATACAGAGCTTATGCAGCTGCTCACCCTCCTTTGGAGACTCAGACATTTTCATGGCAGTGGTAAGGGAGACCCAGCCTCTAGACCGGGCTTAGTGACAGGGTATGGGATTAACAGACCCTTGGTCTGAACTAGGATGACTATTCTCATGCTTTTAAGCAAGTTCCTGTGGTCACCTCCAATTCCTACCTGCAACCAATAAATCAGATATTCTCAGCAGTTTTGGAAATTATGAACAATTTATAATTGTCAGTTTATAATTTGGTCCCAACAGCTGAGAAACAGCACTGTACAAAAACAAGCCAGTGCCCATTTCTAGTTTCTCTTCATATGAACAACATAGAAAGGCCTCAGATATTATCCTACCTCCTGTGCCAAATAGTGATAATAAATATACATCTATTGGTTACAAATATGATCAGTATGTGGCTATTGCTTTCTTTGTGCTGTTTCATTATTTCAGTAATTAAAACGTGGAATGGCTTCCTCAAATCCATACATATGAACAACTGTACTCCAGGGCCCCCCAAATCACAGATATTCAGGTATTTGCACTATAGTTGTGCTCTTTGGCATTTCACTCCAGAGGTTCTAGTTTCTTTGGAAATGCTACTTTGGCAAGAACATCCTTACACCCTACTAATAACAGTTTGCACTTTTAATACAAGCCTTCTGGCCAACATCTCTTCACACTTTATAACTAACAATTAATTAAGCAGCTCAGAGCCATTATGTTTGGCAGACTCCCACATGCCGCAAGCTTCTCCACAGAGCATTCTCTGCCGCGCTTCACTCCTAGAATAAATTACAATCCTTGTGGATAAAACATGTTATAAGCCTATGTTAAGACAATTCAGTCTGCGGTGCTTTGCTAGGGTGTTCTTACGCTTTCTGTGCTTCAGACACAGTGTCAAAACTTTCTCGAGTATGTAACAGGTTAAGCTGTATTTTCCTTTGCTAGGTGCTGAAAAGCTTTCCAGGTTATTGATAGTCACTTCTTCATGAAAGCTCCATGTTATTTGCTGGCCAGTACACCTAAGTAGAGAGTTAGTCTCTTCCCTCTGGGTATCATCAGCAACATACTGAAAAACTAGAGACTAGTGTATCTCAATATTCCTGTTGTCAATGTCAGCAAACACACAGGGATGGAGAGGTAGTTACCTGGAAATCACCCTTAGCAGGCAGAGTAATTTAGGTTTGCTACTGTTTACTATTATGGAAGAGCCATCTGGCCTACACAATAGCAAAGCGAATGAGAATTCAGCAAGAATCCAAAGGTTCTTTCAAAGCACAGGTTGGGTACATAGTAGCGATGGGGGATCTTCAAAGAAGAATGGATACAGGCCTTAAAAAGGCTGTCGTGAAGCCTTCAGAAGGCTTTTACCTGCCTTCCAGCATTACTTCTGCCTTGCTTATATTCTGCTACATCTAACTGTTCGGGTCATGCAAGCCCCAGGTCTTCCTGGTGGTAGTGGCACGGTCATTACTTTGGGACAAGGAGAACTGTGCATCACCTCCCTGTGGTCTGACCATGTCCGTCCACCAGTCGCGTTGGTGGCTGCATGCAGACTTGTGCAAAGACTAGAGACTGAAACACTGTGAAACACTAGAATTCAGTGGCTATTGTGCATCACATCCTCTAGGCACTAGGCAGTTTGCAGTTACTAATTCACAGTATCATTAAGAACCTGAGAAAACACAAACCAAACCAAAATGAAAGTTAATGCAATGGCCACTTGAAGTTCTTTTAAGTGAATTGGTTCTGAGTACAGATTAAATTTTGCTTCCTAATGCTGAGTGCTAAACCCTGTCCCCCATAGACAGAAAGTCCATTTTTATATCCTCAGAAAAAAAAGTCATCTTCTCTCAAAAAGCTACCTCACACATTGTGGGGACATTGGCAAAAGAAGAAAAATTTAATTGATTTTCAGATGCACATTCTAAAGCAAGCAAAAGTCTCTAAACTGAGAAAATCTAAACCAAAATGAAAGGCTTAAAATTACGTTCTGAATCAGATATCTTCTTAATCATAATAGGTACTAAAATATGTAAGCCTTGAGTCTAAGATGAGATAATTTTACAGGGGAGAAGTAAGACGAGAAGAAAACTGGCTGTGAATTCTTACATAGAACTGTCTGATCAGACTCCCTTCTTTCTTTTCTTGGAGAAGATTCTGAATACAACAACTGCTTTTTTGAAATACAGAATATAGAACAGAGAGATTACATACACTTACATACTTCGTAGTAGATTTTATATATATGGGCTGGATAAATTCACTTTTTCATAAATGGAATGAACTCTGGAGTTGCAAGAGGCATTATTTTATACACTTTATTAATCTTTTACATTATTTTGCTCAGATCCTTCTTATCCTATCCAGACTACGCTTAATGCGATAAATGTCGACAGATCCAACATGCAAAATTTGTGGCATTTTCAGCTTAGTGCACACACTAATTTTCATGCAGGATCGTGCTTTTTCCGCCCCTCTCCAATAAGCTTTTTCTTCACTCCACTATGCTCAACGTAGGAATAAGACTTGGACGACGTTTCTATTCCTGTCTTTGTCACTGACTCACTGTATAGCTTCCTGTGCATTCACATCTTGTGGTTGGATTTTTCTGGTATCTGAGAAGGTGAATGCATCTGTCAATGTTGTCTCCAGAGTCATAATGTCTCTCTCTGTACAGATTCTTTTGCATTTAGTAAAGGTTGAGACCTCACTGCACCCTGTCTATCAACTAAGCTATTAAGAGGCATTCTTACATCTACCCAGATGGCTATTTTAATTATAACCATAAGAAAATCAAATCTGTGAGATCTCTGCTTATTAGTCAGATTTGATTTTGATCAAGTGCCTTATAATTTTGAGATGGAGCACCCACCATAGGCACACAAGGCAGCATGATCACTTCCCATTTTAATGAAAGTTAAGGAAGACATAGAAATATTAATTCAGTACATTTGTAAGCTGTAATGGGATCCTGGCAACTGGAGGTACACGGAGACACTCAAACCAGTTGTTTTGTTGTATAGGGATAACGCCAGTTACTGGCTGCTACAGCGCCCTGCAGCGCTACTATCTGCTGAGTATGCAAAGGCACTGATTGCTCTTTCCTCTTCAGTGCGATGTTCTCTGAAATCCCTCTGCGGTCCCCTTCACAATTCTTTGCAAGAATAGTCTGTTCTTAGGTCATGTTATTGATTGTTAAATCGAAACAAATATATTTGAGTAAAATCAGCAAGTGTATAGATAAGTCTTACAAACTAAGTTTTAGTCCTTTCTTAGTGTTGCAATGAAAGTCAGAGAGCCACTACAGTTTGCAATGTCAATAAAATCCATGTAGGTTTGCAAGAAAGGCTTATTTTACAGCCTTTGTTATTTTAACAGCTACTACTTTTGTAAGAAAAGTATAATATTTTAACAGAGACATTGTATATAAATTGTTTTAATTATGAGCTAGTTTTACAGTCAAACACACTAACCAGAAATGTATTCCAACTTCCAGTGCTGTATTAGGGACAACACAAGGGGCTTCATTGCGAAGACTACAGCCTCCAAGGCACAAAGCAACCAGAATCGTTAAAAAACATGACTAATTAGTAACAATCTGTTATGAAGTGATACAAGCTAGTTCCTCTTAAATATGTTGATTTTTACAGGAAAAGCTGCCAGCTTTACTTTTTATTATTATTATTATTATTTTATTTTTTTATTTCCAGTCTCCATTCTAATCATCAGGAATGTTATAACAGTATGATAGAAATCAGATACTTATCGACCTAAAAATTAGTTATAATGGTATCAGCAGATAAAGTAAGTTTAATTATCAGGCAGAATAGAAAATATAAAATACCTCATCTAAAAACACTACCTGTTTACCATATTAACTGAATTATATGAACTGATCTCTTCCACTCATATTCCCCTTATCTTTTTTTTTTTTTTTTCCATGACAGGATTACCATGAAAATTCTTCCAAATAAAGGATCATACCCTATTTGCATTAGGATACTTAACTGAAAATAGCCTGTAAGTGTATGCAGGACACATTTATATGACAATATGTATATAATTATAAATGCAAAGGGGAGAGTACTGAAATAACCAGAAAACCTCTTTGGCTGCAATAGGCAGCTCTTGGGTGCTCATATCTGAGGAAATGTGTCAAGCACCTTCTGCCAAAATTTGAAAAAAGACAGAACGAGAGACGCTTTAGGTTTCTGTGCGCTTGCTTTTACAACATAGGATTTCAATTAATACATATATATATATATTATATATGAAGACGAGCAAAACGTGTTTTAACGAACAGACAGCTCCCCACATCCAGATTTGACAGCAGCGTAAATT